GGGTGAAGGGAGGGCAGGGGAATGGGGAAAAAAATAAGAACCAAGATACTCATGTAATGGTACAAGATCCCAATGATGACTGTAACTGTATTTTACACCTAAAATGTACCAATAAACTTAATGGGGGAAAAAAAAAAAAAGAAATGTCTTCTAGGCATAGCTGTCTTTTGGCTTTTGAGTCTGTCCCAGGATCCTGCCTCTTCAATTTACTAGGGATAAAAGGTTGCTGGCTGTTTGGCCTAGCACTTAGTTCTTCAGTACTGAACTATAGTACTGTTTATGACCCGTTTATAGCACTGTTTTTTGGGGATAATTTACATATAGGCATACAAGGAAGATCAATTGATCGCAACAACTATGTCACTTTGGCTAAAGTAGTACAATCAATAACAATAACGTCAAGTAGATTGGAAAATGACAAACTGTCATAACTATTTGTCACCTTTAGCCATAGGTTCAAGATTAAGTTATATAATGAAATCTAAGGTAAATCAAAAAATTATATACTATATACTCATATATATAATCTTTATACTCAATAGAGTGCTTTTACCCTAAGGGGAGAAAATTTAAAAGGGCTAACAGGAAAAATAGAGAAATGAGAAAGATTAGAAGTAAGGGTGAAGAACAAAAGATTACCCAAGCCTTGGGAAACTGGTAAACAAGATAGGATGGAAAGAAAGAGGGAAGAAACAAAAACAAGAAAACAAAACCAAAAACTAAAAACAATGTGCACACTCATGAAAAAACAATCAAATGAACAAAAAAATCAAACGAACAACAACAACAACAAAAGCCCACAAGCAATGAAAATTTTTTTTCTCTGTGATTTCAAGCTTGTGGTTATCTTCTGGGGTCTACAGTTTTGTGATAATGTCCAATTCAGGACATGACTGCTCTCTCTGGTAGACTAAGGAGGCAGTTAGAACGCAGATCTCTTCTGGATAATCCTAGCCAGCCTGTAGGATTAGGGTAGGGTATTGGTGCTAGCATAGTGGATCCTTGACTTACAAACTCAATTTATTTACAAGGGCTGGCTGTAACTCAAGTTGGTCAACTGCCTTCAAAGTCTCTTTCCTGTATAATTTTAGGTGACACTTTCTTTCAGGCAGAACTCAGTATCCTTAGAGAGACACTGGCCCAGGATTTCTCTGTTTATCTCACACAGGAAAAATGTTGTAATATTCCTTCTAAAACTCTTTAAAGGTTAAATCTGTATTTGAGACCATCTGGAATCACAAGCGGCCAGCATTTGGAGTGTAACTTAAGATTTTAGTCTTAAGTTAAAACTAAAATTTCAGTTGAAATCCAAGTTATATGTCAAGCCAGTCTTAACTCGAGGATCCTCTGTACTTTCAAATCCACAGAAATTCAGGCTGATAACGGCCTCTGCTCATGGGGTTGGAGCCTGAGTCATTTAATTTGTAACACTCTGGATACTGATTTTAAAAGAATCATATGTATTATTTAATCTGAAAAGTAAAAAGTTTTAAAAGACAGTTCCAATCAAAGATTTCAACATTAAGCTCTCTCCTTTGCTCCCTCAAAGCTGTAAGAAGCCTAGTCCAACTTAAATCAGGCTAGTGTGTGGAAGGGGAAGGGGGAAACAATTAGAATCTGACTTTAGGAAGGAAATATTACTGTCTTTTGAGGATCAGGTGAAAAAAGTGACTGGAATCAGTGAAGAAATCCTAAAAAAAATTCTAAGATGGTGTTACCTTACGACAGACTACTTTTATTTAACTCAATCACCTTTAGGTTTTGAAAAGGACAGAATTATTACAGTCTGTGACCTCATTTATTCACATTCCAGAAGAAGATATAAATCAGGTGTAGTAAAAACTAAAATAACATGCAGAGGATGAAAACTTTTCTACAGTCAATAAATGCTGTTCCATTAAAGGGAAAGAGACTAGAGTTTTGTTGTGTGAGAGACAGAGGTACATCCATGTCTGAAGAAAATCTAGTCATTCACCCTGGCAAATATTATAACATATAAAGAGGTTCAAAGAGATCATATAGAGGCAAACTGTGAAAGGTCTTAGCTGAGGCTAAAAATTCTATCTAGTCACAAGAAGCACTGAAGGTTTTTGAGCAAGAATGCAACATATCAGATGGCACATTAAGACTATTAATTTAAAAGTGGTGAACACTGTGGTTAGAAGGATAAACAAAGACAGAAATATTAATTAATAATAGCAAACAAAGGATTTGCATTTATTTCTCTAAAAAGTATAAATAACCAGTAAGTACATGAAAATGTTCAACATCATTAGCCATCAGAGAAATGCAAGTCAAAATCACAGAAACCCAATACTTCATACCCATTACGATGGCCACAACCAAAAAGATAGGTAAAAGGCACTGGCAAGGAGGTAGAGAAATTGGAATCCTCATATAATGCTGGGGGAGATTCAAAATAGTACGGCTCCTCTGAAAAATAATTTGGAATTCCTCAAAATGCTCAACATCAATACTGCATGACCCAGCAATTCCATTCTTAGATACATATCCAAGTGAAAACATACATTCTCACAAAAACTTGCACAAATGTTCATAGCATTATTTATCACAGCTTTATTCACAAAACTCATAAAAGTAAAACCAACTCAAATATCCACCAACTAATGAATAAAATCTGGTATATTCATACAATGAAGAGTTATTTGACAATAAAAGGGTAAAAGTGATGCAGTACTGATACATGCTAAAACATGGATCGACCAACCTTAAGAATGTTATGCTAAGTGAAAGAAGACACAAATTGTATGACTTCATTTATATGAGATATTCAGAATAGGCAAATCTATAGACAAAAAGTAGGTAAGTCATTGTGTAGACCTGTGGGTTGCTGGGGAAAGTGGGGAGTAATGAAAACTGTTCTAAAATTAAATGTTGTAATGGACACATAACTGTTTATGTACTAACACTGATTCTTTTTTTTTTTTGTACCGGGGATCGAACTCAGGACCCTGCGCTTGCAAAGCAGGCAGCAGTACCACTAAGCTAAATCCCCGGCCCCTAACATTGATTAACGGATAAAGTGTACAAATGTGAATCAGACCTCAGTAAAAGTATTAATACAAAAAAAGAGCACTTGACCAGGTGCTCATGTTTAATGATTTTGTTGTTGTTGTTGTTTTGTTTTTTTGAGACAGGCTCTTATTATGTGATCTAAACTGGCCTTGAACTCACTATGTAGTCCAGGCTGGCCTTGAACTTGCAACAATCCTCCTTCCTCAGCCTGCTGAGTGCTGGGATTACAGGCATGCATCACCACACCCCGCATGTTTAATGATTTTTTTTTTAACCTGCAAAAATATCCAAGAATCCTCTGAAATAAAAATGTTATTTTTATAGACTCAAACATTTTGCTCATTTATTCATTCAGCAAACATTAATTCAGCACCTGAGATGTGACAGCCACTAAAGCTTTTGTTCTCTTAAGATTATTTTTTAATCTTGGGCATAGGGGGAGTAAAGTAGTGGATCTTTTTAAAACTTACCAGTGATTTGAAGTTGTGATTTCATGGTCAGGCTACCCATTGAACCAAGTTGTGATCCACTGTCAGACATACCACCAATAGGACAGCAAACCTGAACATCGTAAAGGAGACATTTTATATATCAAAAATTCCCATTTAGGGGCAGGGGATTTAGCTCAGTGGTTCCGCTGCCTGTCCCGCAAGCACAAAGACCCAAGTTCGATAACCGGTACCAAAAAAAAAAAAAAAAAAATTCCCATTTAAAACATGTATAAACAGTTCTTACCTGGCCATTTCCTACTGAGGGCCCCATAATAACCAATGGCCTTCACATTGCTAATCATTTTCAATTCTAGTATTTGTCCTACCTAACCTATGCAAACTCTTAACAGTTGACCATTCCCTCCTCTGTGGTTTACTTTCTTCCCTGGAGCTCCTGAGACATGTCCTCTAGGTTTATGTCCTACCTCACTGATTATTCGTTCCTTTTGTATTCTTTGAAGATTCCTTTTCTTTCTTCTACTCTTAATGTCAGTATATCCTAGGGCTCAGTTCTTGGTTGTGTCTTTTTTTTTTTTTTGGTACTGGGGATCAAACTCGGGTCCTTGTGCTTGCACAGCAGGTGGCGAAACCACTGAGCTAAATCCCCAGCCCTCTTCTTTTATATGTCTATACTCATTCCCTCGAGGACACTACTGGGTCTTAATGGTTTTTAAATAGCATCTATGTAACAACATGTCCCAATCAACTTTATTATCTCCAGCCCAGACCTCATCCCTAAAAATCAACACAACTCCACTTGGGTATTTAAAACACTCTATACTTAACATATCCAAAACTGAACTTCACATCTTCTCTACAAACTTCTGTTCAGCAAGTGTTCTCATGCAATGGATGCCAACTCCATCCTTCTGGATGCTCAAATTGAAAACAAAACAAAACAAAAAACCCTAGAGTCATTCTCAACTACTTTCTTTTACATTTCACTTCCAACCTGTCAGCAAATTCTATCTCTACTTGCAAAAATACATGTAGAATCTGCCGGGATTTACCTCAGTGGTTCTGGCGCCTGCCTCACAAGCGCAAGGTCCTGAGTTCAATCTCTGGTACCAAAAAAAAGAAAAGAACGTGTAGAAGCCAACCACTTCTTACTATTCCATCAGCAATCTGTTCACTGCTGCCTTTAATAGCTGTCTTTTCTTTTCTCACTTTTTACTTTTTAATTATATATGAAGTACATAATGATTACATTTATTGTGGGGAGTTTTTACACAAACATAACACATCCTAATTTTTTTTTTTTGGTCCATTTCCCTGTCCACCCCTACTCCATGATCCCTCCAATTCTTGTCCCCCTTTCCATTTGCAAAAGCTCTATTTTCATTTTTTCCTTCAATTCTCTTTATCCCTTTTCCATTCCTTCCCTTCCCCCTCACTCATCTCGTTTCCCCTCCCAATTGAAAAACATATCTCTAGTTCCTCTCATCTTTTGTGCTTTATTTATATTTTGGGATTCTCATATAAAAAAACCCCATGTGATATTTAAACTTGTGTGTCTGACTTATTTCACTTAATATTATGGTCTAAAAACACATCCATTTACCTACAAATGACTCATTTATCCTTCTTTATGGCACAGCAGTGTTCCACTGTATATAAATAACACATTTTCTTTATTCATCTGTTGTAGGTATATAGGCTGTTTCTAAGATTTAGCTATTATAAATTGTACTCCTATAAACAGAGGTATGCATGTATCATTGTAATATGACATCTTTAACTCTTCAAGGAAGATACCCAGAAGGGGAACAGCTAGGTCAAATGAAATTTCTAGTTTTAGTTTTTTCAGGAATTTCTATACTGATCTCTATAGTGGTTGTAGTAGTTTACATTCCCACCAACAATGTAAAATGGTTCCTTTCCCCCTGCAGTCTGCCCAACGCTTTTTGCTTTTTGATTTCTTGATGATAGTCATTCTTTCTGGAGGAAGACGGTATCTTATATTGTTTTGTTTTTTCCGGTACCAGGAATTGAACTCAGGATCTTCCACTTGCAAGGCAGGTGTGTTGCCACTGAGCTAAATCCCCAATCCATCTTAGTGTTGTTTTAATTTGTATCTCTCTAGTGGCCAGTGAAGCTGAACATTTTTTCAAATATTTAGTGGCCATTTATACTTCTGAAAAGTGTCTGTTCACTTGAATTGCCCATTTTTTTTTTTTTTGGTACCAGGGATCGACCTCAGAACTGTGCACATGTGAGGCAGGCACAGTGCCACTGAGTTAAATCCCCAGCCCTGAATTGCCCATTTTTTCACTGGGTCTTTTATTTTGAGGGTGTCTGATTTTTGGGGGCTTATATACTGTATTCTAGATGTTAGTCCTATCTGAGCAATAGCTGACAAAAATTTTTTCCCATTCTGTAGGTTATCTCTTCAATCTGTTGTTTTCTTTTGATGTACAGAAGGTTTTTAATGTGGTATGATTCCATTTGTTGATTACCGATATTGTTTCTTATGCTACTGGGGTTCTGTTCAGAAAGTCCTTGCTTATGCCTATGTCTTCAAGAGTTTTACATATTTTATCTTCCAGCAGATTAAGTGTTTCTGTTTTAACAATTAGACCTTTCAGCTGGGGATTTAGCTCTGTGGTTCCGCCGACTGCCTCGCAAGGGCAAGGACCCAAGTTCAATGCCCAGTATTCATCTATTTTGATTTTAGTTTAGTACATAGTGAAATATATGGGTTTAGACTCAATCATCTGCATATGGATATCCAATTTTCCCAGTACTATTTATTAAAGAGAATATCATTCCTCCAATGTATGTTTTTGGCTTCTTTGTCAAAGATCAGATGGCAATGTGTCTGGGGTCATTACTTTTTCCTCTACTCTGTTCCACTGATTCACATGTCTGTATTTTTGTCAGTAGCATGCTGTTTTTATTACTGTAGCTTTGTTATATAGTTTCCAATCTGGGATTTTGATGCTTTTCCTGCTTTGCAATTGTTACCCAGAATTGCTTTTGCTATTCTGGGTCTCTTATCATTCCATATGAATTTTTGGATTATTTTCTCTAGATCTGTGAGGAATGTTGCTGGTATTCTGATTGGAATTGCATTAAATCTATCCATTGGCTTTGGAAGTACAGTAAAACCTTGGTTTACAAGCATAATTCATTCTGGAAGCATGTTTGTAATCCAAAACACTTGTATATCAAAGTGAATTTCCCCATAAGAAATAACAGAAACTTAGGATTTGTTCCACAAGCCAAAAATATTCATATAATAAATGATTATAATACTGTAACATAACACAAAATATAAAGAAAAATACACAAATTAACCTGCATTTACCTTTGAAAACCTTCGTGGTTGGTGTGAGAGATAAAGAGAGGAGGGTTATGGCACAGGATGACTTTCACTGTTTGTCACTAACAGAATCACTGCTATTTGCTCAATGGAATCTTACTTTTCTTACAACTTTAACAAGGGACCTATCCAATGACAAATGCTTTTGCCTCTTTTTGAGAATTTCATAGAAATGCGACACTACATTGTTGTTAAATAGATTAACTGCTCACACTGCTACTGCCTTATTCGGGTGGTACTTTTGTTTCCCACATTTTACTTATCTTCCTAATCTCATTTGAAGATAAGGACTGTTCCACCTTTTTCTCCTCCTCTGCAAATGAGCAAATGAGATCTCCTTCGTAACCTTCTGCTGTTGGAAGACAATCACCCATACTTCCAAGAGAGAGAGGACAGGGGAAGGAGGGCACAGATTAGCTCAGTTATGATCATATGAAATTCAGCATTTATACTACTTGTAGTGCAAGACATTACTCACTTATCAAGTTAAAATTTATTAGAAATGTTTGCTCATCTTGTGGAACACTTGCAGAACAAGTTACTTGTAATCAAATGTTTTACTGTATAGCCATCTTGACTATATTGGTTCTGCCAATCCAGGAACATGAGATATCTTTCCATTTTCTGATGACCTCTTTTCAATCTTCTTTTTCAGAGTGATGTAGTTTTCACTTTAGAGGGCCTTCACTTCCTTGGTTAGGTTAATTCCTAGGTATTTAATTTTTCTTGATGGTACTGTGAATGGTATTGTTTTTGTACTCTCTTTCTCAGAGAGCTCATTATTAGTGTATAGGAATACTATTGGTTATTGTATATTGATTTTGTGTCCAGTTATATTCCTGAATTTGGTAATTAATTCTACGAGTCTTTTAGTGGAATTTTTTGGGTCTTTAAGTAGAGGATCATGTCATCTGTGAATAATGATACTTTGACTTCTTCCTTTTCTATCTATATCTGTATCTATCTATCTCTATCTCTGTCTGTCTGTCTGTCTATCTATCTATCTATACCTTTTATTTCTTTCTCTTGCCTGACAGCTTTGGATAATGCTTCAAGGACCATGTTAAATAGAAGTGGTGATAATGGACATCTTTGTCTTGTTAACACCAATCTTTTAGATTCTGTCTCTCTCCTAGATTAATGAATAACCTAATAGGTCACCTTGTTTCTAACCTTGTTTAGACTCAGCCTCTAGTCTCCACACAGCTATAATGACTCTTTTATAATAGAAATTTTGAAGACCTTGCATAGCTCATTTTAGTCAGAGTAAAAGTCTAAGTTCTTACAATGATTTAGAAGATCCTATATGTGTGCTTCCTCTGCTCCTGACTTCTTGATCTTATTTCATCTCCTCTGGCATCTATGATCTGTTTATCAAATATGTCAGCATATTCTGGTCTTACAACCTTTATTTTGGTCTCTTGACAATATTAAAATCTGCTCTACCTACTCTGGTCATGTCTTTCTTCTATAGATATATAATTTCCTGACACACAAGTAATTTACTTGGTAAATATGCTTCTTGGTTTTGTCTCCACAGACTAGAATATACTATACACTAGAATATACCAAGCAGGCAGGAATCTATTTTCCCTGATGAAATTGAGGAGCCCAAAACAGTGGCTGACACAAGATAAATGCTTAAATACTGGTTCAGTGAAATCAACAAAGAAATGGCTAGTGAATTATACTGCAAGAACTACTCTAACACCTATTCTCTTCAGTCTTTAATGATGAAAGAATTCTCA